TGTTCGTCCGTGGGTTCAGTCAAGTGTGCAGTGCGTGTAAGTGTTGAGGCGGAGTTTCCGAGAATATCTTCATCAGGCACATGTGCGGCTCGTCAACCTGCGGATATAAGGGTCCTCGACAGTAGCAGATCCGATCCGTAGCCCTCAGCATCCCGACGCCGTCGCCGCAGGTGCGTTTGCTCCGTGGGGATGATGGCCGCTTGCTTGTTCTTGGAATGCCTTTCTCTCTGAGGCTTTTGGATTCTAAGCCCTAAAGCCCCTGGCCACCGTTCAAGGATAGCCGTATAGTAAGGATAAGAGTCACGGCAGTAAGAACAGTGATCACATTAATACTAGCATCGCGATTAGAAATCGGGGAATATGCTGAGTTAATGTAAATACAAACGTTGCAATCCATCTTCGCGTTTTTGCATCTAGGGGCCCCGAACCCTTTTTATACGTCCTCAACCCTGCACCAGGTCTTTAACAAAATGGCTGTGACACGGTTTCCAGCAGAGTGCCTTGGTTTTTGCACATGAAGGTCAGGATAGAGTTCCAGTTGCATAAAACTTCTGGAAGTCACCTAGGTCCAGTTGCATAAAAGGTCAGGATTGTTAAGCGTAGTTCATGACTTTGGGCTTTGTGGTGCTTCAGGCGCTTGGGTTTCTGTTGAAAGTTGACGTCTTTGCTTGGGGTTAACGTTCGAGCGCCCTGGGCCGTCAACTCCAAGCTCCAAGCCCCAAGCGGCTTTACCTAGCACGCCTCGAATAACAAAGAGCCCTGAACACTCTTGTGGACAATTCCATACGGCACCAGATCGCTACTTCCCGAGCCCATGCGAAGAAGTCGTTCACTGTAGCAAAGGCCCTAAATTTCAATGGGAGTTTGCGAAAATTGGGGGGCACCTTCTTTTGGGCTCCTTATGAATAAGGATCCTACTATTTAGGGTACGATCTTCGGGTCCCCTATTTTTGGGAAACCCCCCAAATCTCACCCAGCCTTGAAATCCCGAAAGCCCTCCTGAGGTCCTGAAGCCTTCATGCCTTGCACCTTCTAATAGTAGCAGTAAAGTTGAAACTTCATAGCCCCTCATTGCCCTTAAGCTAAAGGATAAGGGGTCCGCGCACTAATCATTCTGAACCCATGTCCCAACTTTCTCTGGGGTTCCCTGTAAGGCCCCAAAGGCCCTAAACCCTAAACCTTAAGCACTGTACCCTGCAATGCGGGCTCGCCCCACAAACCCTGTAAAGCCCCTCTTGAGGTGCTGCTTGGTGGCCTTGCAGATGGCCTTCTGCTCTGCGTTTCTGCTCTGCTTCGCCCAGAAGCCCCTCGGACCTCGGATTGTTTGTCTTTGTTTCAAGTAGTTTTTTTTTACGGGCTTTCAGGGCGTTCGTGGCTGGCAAGGCTTTCTGGGGCTTCGGGTCTAGGGCTTAGAATTTCGTGTTCAGGAGGTTTCTCAAGATTTTTTTCAAAAAAGTCCACAGGTCTTAGGAGTTTTGAATGAGCGTCCAGTGGTTTCAGGATCTTTCCTTTCCAGTGTTTTTGGTGGGTGCTTCGGGTGTTTGGGGTATACAGTTTCAGAGAAGGGATAAGGGTTTATGGCTCAGGACGTATTTAGGGGATTGGGGGCTCCCAAGTATAAGGGTTTGGAGTTTAGGGAACTTAAAAAATCAGTTCGGGCTCAGAGAGTTTCTTGAGTCTTGGATGCATCGGGTCTCGAGTATTGAAAAATGTTTATGGGTGGTAGGGCTTGAGGGTTTGAAGGGTTGAGTTCTTGAAGGGTTTAGAGTTTGGGGCTTATAGGGTTTAGGGGCGAGAGTTTAGGGGATAAGTTCGTGGGTTTAGTAATCTAATCTAAGCGTAATGACTTGTGTACTTTTTTTCAATCTTCAGTGTCAAGTTCCTGTGCTTGTTGCTGCCGGCGCTGGTAGTCTGAGGATCATGATGATGGAGGCGGCTTGCATAGAAAATCGAAGAATAGCCCACTTTGGTGCCGGAAGACGAAGGCTATGGCGTGGCAAATGCATTGCATGCCTCTTTGGTGTTGTTCTCGTTTGCACCTGACGGAACAATTGCATGTAACCTTATGCGAAGCCCGGAATGAAGTCTTATTCCGAGCATTTTAGACGCCTACATAAACTATCAACATTCTTCCTTAGGGTTCCTTATTATCATTATAATATTATAAAGGACCCCCAAACCCCCAATTCTAAGTATGGCGGCCCCGACATTCACGTGGAAGCTTCGAGTTCCGAGGTCCATTCACATCGGCTCCTTCCGCGATGTCGCCAGGTGGTCTCTGGTGATCCCGTTCGGACCTGAGCTCTTTAAGGTTCAGGGTTTAGCGGTTTAGGGGCTTAGGGTGTAGGGATTCAGGGCTTTGGGGTGGGCTGAGATTTTGGAGGGGGCCCAGGAATTGGATGTTTCCTCAGCACTTCGAGCAGCTCTTGTCTTTTCCATGGTGTTTTTGCCTTCGTGGCCCTGCCCTCTTGGACACTCCATTCCCTACAAAGCTGAAGCCCAATTATTTTAGGTTTGAGGGGTGTCGGACTTGGAGCGATTTCTTATTGACACTTGTGCGGTTCAGGACTTACTTCGCTTTTGTGTGGGTCAGGCGCTTCCGGGTTCAGGATGATGGCACGCGTAGTTTACCGTCCGGCTTACTCTAGAGGATTCCCCATGTGCGTGCAGGATCAGAGCACAGGAGGGAGGGAGAGAGAGAGAGAGAGGGGCGCGGTGAGGGAGGAAACCTCCTCACCACAACCCTGACGAAAGAAAGAGAGAAAGAGATCGCGCGTGTGTGTGTGTGTGTGTGTCTGTGTGTGTGTGTGTGTGTGTGTGTGTGTCTGTGTGTGTGTGTGAATACGTGCGTGAGTGCATGCGTGCCTGCTTGAGTGGGAGATGATGCGGGGAGGGGCCGGCAGGAGGTCAGAGTCGCAGCAGGAAGACAAGATTTTGGCGTGGCCATGCCGCAAGGAATGCAGAATGCCAATAACATTTGAGACCGGGCTTCCTCAAACCAGAGCCCAACTCACAGAAGGAGAATGCAGAGAACCTAAGGTGCTTCAGCGGCATGCTGCTGACTTCGATGTGTCTTGACTGCGTCGCTCACATGTCGGAGTCTGGGGGTGTGGCTGTAAGGGTATTTGCAGAGTTTTAAACCCTAGTCCAATTATACTATGTTGGGGCTCCGTATTTTCGTTATGGTCTAATATGCCCCAAAACCTTGTTCTAATTATACTATGTTGGGGGTTCCTTATTATTGGTACTAGTTTAGGGACCAAGGACATGATAAAACGCTAGACCCTTAGTCTTCAAGCCCAAACCCTGCAGACCCTGCATCCGTAAAGCACGTCAGGGCCTTCGAAGCTACGGCAACGATTTGTACTAAGGCCCTCCCCTATAGTCCTTACAAGCACAAGTGCACTATGACATACCAAAGAAAGCCTGATTGTCATTGGTCAGCCCCCGTATTTTACATAGTTTTCACAGAATCCTTGCAGAATGCAGCGTTCAAAAGCCATCAGTGTGCCGTGGATCCCGCTTAGAGGACTCGCCGGGGCTGCTGCAACATGAGGGATCTCTCAGGCTTTATATTATAAGGCTTTGAGTTGAGGTTATATGGCTTCAGGGTTCCGGGCTTGGGGCGCTTCATGAGCATCGATAGCGGTACCGCCGGTACCGCATAAATTTAGAACTTGCAGGCGAGGAAAAACCAAGAACCAATGTGGAATGTGGCCAAAAGTCCCGCAACGTGCGTTATGGAAGGGTGCTTAAGACCATGTTGTGCTATAAACTGTACTCTAATCCGTTTCTGTATAGTCTACTAGTCTACTATACTACTACGATGATATACTGCAACATGCGACAAGATTTGCAGTATACTATACTATGAGATACCATGCTCAAAGCTTCCGCTGAGAAAGAGAAGTGCTGGCCAATGGGGTCGATTTCGGGTTTATGGTTTATTGTATTGGGTTTGTAGGTTTAGAGTCTACGAGCTCACATTGCAGAAGCCAGCAAACCCAGAAGCCGCCGAGCCCAGCCTCTCGGCGGTCCTACGCCTCCCACCGAGACCTGCATGCAAGACTCTAGAGGGCAATTCAGAAACAAGGGCAGACATGTCCGTACTGTGTACTTTGCCAACGCCTGTGTGTTCTGAACCATCTCGTCGGCATGAATGGAGCCAGCCATCAAGAAAAGACAGCGGCAAACCTAACACAGCGGCAAACCTAAGAATACAAAACCAGGTTGGCCTTGAAGAATGCGCCGATGTCCTTATTGGTCGTCCTGCGCTGCCTCTCCCCAGTGTGTCTCCCAGATCCCACTTCGGCAAGAAGTCCATGATGGTTTGTGTGGGCTGTAATTTTGTTTCAACCTTGCAAAACCTAGAGTGATTCCACAGAAGGTCTTTCGCAACACTGAAGGTCAGCACTTGAAGATGTTGTCGGCACATCTGTATACATCTACCAGTACGATCATTCTTTGGTCCTTCTTGGGTTGCTGTTTTGCCTTCGGGAATGCTGGGGTGTAGGTATCTTCGGTCGCAGTCGGTGAGGTCACAGCAGCCTACATAAAATAGACGCTCCAGCAGCCAAGAGCTTGATAAGATCCTCGGGGGCGAAGGATTTTGGTTCGGAAGGTCTTGGATGTTTTGTTGCTCGGGGGCGGAGGAATGACCGGATTGCAGTTATCCTGGGTGTAACCCCGCCTGCGACTCGCCTTGGAGTCTCTCGCAGGTTTTCAGGTGTGATGTGGTCATCAAGGTGCGGTGAACTCAAAACTTAAAACCAAAGCCAACACTCACTGCATGGGGTGTGTCCCAGAGTAGAGCCCTGACGTACTATCTGATACTATCTTCTTATCTCATGTCGAAGTCAAGTGGTAGCATCCCATTAAAAAGCTTTGTAGTCCCTCTGATGTTGGGGCAGTATCCGAAGCCTCCGTGGTTTGGGAGCCATTTTGGCCGAAGCTTGTAGTGCAGGAGCTCGCACTCGTCCTCCCATCTCTTGACACCAGCCATGGCTCTGCTTTCGCTCTTGGGGCTCGTCGCTCCGGTCCTGTCTGCAGCGCAGGGGGACTACCAGAAGTATATGAGCCAATACGCAGGTGATTACGAGAAGTACATGCACGGGGGTGGCGGAAACGGTGGGAGTGGGGACTACGAAAAGTACTACAAGAAGTACATGTCTCAGTACGGCTCGGGTGCCTCCGGTGGCTACGAGAAGTTCATGTCACAATACGCAGGCTACGCGAGCAAGTACATGCCGTCCTCGGCAGAGGCAGAGTCGAAGTCCGCTGAGCCTAAGCCAGTGAGCTTCGCTGCATCCGATGCATCCGATGCCTCCAAGAAGGACTCTGCCGACAGCGATGAGAAGGCACAGCATTCAGATTCACAGCAGCAGAGCGGCTACCAGCAGTACATGAACCAGGGCTCCGAGAGTGGCGACTACAGCAAGTACATGCAAGGACATGGCTCTCAGGCCAGGTCGCGGCGGTTGGTTCTTGAGCTTTGAAAACAGATCACACGTATGTACATACCTACATAGATCCGTAGGTACACATGCACATGCGTATCTTTTTCATGTTTTTGCATGTGTGCATGAATAGGTGCCTTTATCTGCACTCATGTTCTTCAACGTCTTTTATGCCCCAGTTCCTACAGTTCCCGCCGCCGGGAATTGTCAGTGTGTCAGCATCGTTTAGCCTACACAGGGACGGCCTGCAGAATTAAACCCAAGCACCACCCCGAGCCCCCAGCCTGAAGGGAAGTGGCTACCAGCAGTACTACTCCAAGTACACTCAGAACCATGGGTCGCAGGGTGGGGACTACCAGCAGTATCTGAAGTCCTACGGTGGCGACTACAGCAAGTACATGCAGGGTCATGGCTCCCAGGCGCGCTCGTCCAAAATGGAAGGCTGAAAGCCTGTGACTTTACCTTATAAGTATACATTGTAACGATGGCCTGGCAGGTTGCTTTGCTTGGCCTATGAGTCTGTTGCTCTTCTCAGGAAGGCTGAGGGCTCCCAACAGTAGGTCGTTTCTTTGGCTAGTCAGGCAAGCTTTGTATCGAGTCAGGATGGTCATGCCTCCGGCCTGCGACCAATAACAACCTGGTAACGACAGTTGAAGCCATGCCCCAACGCTTGTGTATGGCTTCCAAACTCTAGACTAAGTCTGAGCCTCCAGGCCCCAAGCAAATCCAGCCCTGACTGTTGCTGCGTCGTGTCGTGAGGGTCAGCATTGAAAGCGATGCAGCATGAAGAGTATAAAGGTTGGTTGAAGGGCCACAGGCTACTTCAGGATTCGTGAATAGAATCGTGAGAGCAAAGGGTGCAGGTAGTAAATCGTACATGTGATAGAGCTGAGACCCTTGCTTCCTGACTTCTTTTACTTCCCTTTCCACCAAAAAGATGTGAACCTCGCCGGTCCATGGACTCTTGCAGGCCGGAGACTACAAGCAGTATATGCAGTCCTACGGTGGCGACTACAGCAAATACATGCAGGGGCAGGGCTCCCAGGCGCGATCGTCTTTTCGGCTGTTGTGTTTGCAAGGAATG